CATTATTAAGGTCTTCTACGTACTGCAGAGAGAATAAACAAACCTTAAGTCAACTTATCTTGAGGCAAAATAAGAAATCATATCATAATTATTAAGAATTAAAATGATTGACAAATAATTTGATTAAAGTGAACCAAAGATCATCTTCTAAAGCCATACCCTATGATCAATGATAATTTGATACAATGCTACATGTGGGAATTCCTTAGCCAACCTACTGATGACTGAATGTGTGAAAAAGTAGTCTGCAGGAGAAGTGTAAATCAAGCATGAGTTGAAAAAGAAAACTTGGTAGCCAAGTCAGTTAAGAGTAAATTCATAAGAACTTACCATGTGTCTGAGCGTCATATTCATAGAAGCAGAAGATTGCTGATAAAGATTTATCTATATACCAATGAATTAAAGAAACACATAAGTAAAACTGCATTATACTCAATTTTTTCTCAAAACAATACAAATGAATTCAAACAAATTTCAAATGAATTTAGGGTTAAAGTAAGTTTCACCATAAATACATATCAAAATAGACAATACGCAGACCATGCCACATCAGGTACACTGATAGAATGCCGGCCAGGGCACAATACTTTACCCCGTGTGTGTGTATAATCCCGAAGAAGTAAGAGATATTACCTTGAACTCTTTTAAGCTCCAAATCATACTCATCCTTTTTATACAAGTAAATTTCTGGCGGAACTGAAATATTGAATCTTTGTAGTTACATCAAAGTTAGTAGGAACATCGGAAACAGAAAGTAAAGGAGAGAGGGAGTACCTACGAAGAGGCGCCGGTCTTCCCATGGAACGTGCATGGACCAAAATTTGTTCCACTTCCAGTCAGGATATTCTACAATACATTCAACGTCTGAGATTGAGGGGCTTGAAAACAAAAATTTGATAAAAAATTCTAAGGCGTTGGCAAGGCAAGAAGAAAAGCCCTTGAAGAGAAAGAGGCCGGGTTACGTGCCTGAAGCGGAGGAGGAAAAGCCCTTGATGCGACTTCTGTGTTGCAGAAAATCAAGGTTTGGTGGTGGTGAAGACAGTTCAGCTGCTATTGAAGTTAGACTTAGGGTTTGGGTAGATTTACAATTGCCCATTCGAAGCAATTGTCGCCCCAAAACCCTTGAATTCCTCATTCTTGGGTGACGAGGATCCTCCTCGGGATTTCTTCTACAATGATTTTATGAGATCGAGTACGTTAATTTTGACAAGTTTAGTGCGAAGGCACACACACATATATAGGTTTCGTTATTGGTTTATCTAGTGTTTAGCTAGGGTTTAGAATTTGGGTATTTTGGTCAGTAAAGCCGAATTTTAGATATTTTTATTTTTGGTATTTTGGTCAATAAAGCGTAAACTATACCTATATTTCCCTATAAAACCCGAATTTTGGTGAATAAAGCGAGGAATTCAAGGGATTTGGAAGCGAATTGCTAGAGAGAAGAGAATGGCTAGGAATTCTAGGGTTTTAGTACGACAGTTACTTGGCAATCCCCTAAACTCCTGCGCAGCTCTTCTTCATCACCATAACCATAAGCATCCTCTTAGTTTCATCAAAACCCTACCAGTTTCAGTTTCAATCACACCATCTTTGCCACCACGACCACCCCCACCGGCAATTCCTTCCTCTTCAAAACCCTTCTGTACCCTTGATTCCAGCTCAAAAAAGGAAATTATTATTGGGTCCTATAGCCGCTGGTCTATCAACTACAAGGGTCGGTGACTTGACTCTCTTCAAAACTCTTTCCCCAAATCTTCTGCCTTTGTTGTTGCCTTGCCGCCGCTGACTTAACTCTTTTCACAATTTTCTTATTTTCAGGTTACTCAGACATTCCTCTCATTTTGCTCCACAATCATTACGATCAGTATGTCAGCGCAGTTAAAACAATTCAAGGTAGTGTTTTATAGTTTTTTATTTTATTTTTGAATTAAATGTTTGCTTGAAGATTTTTTTAGATGAAACTGTGTACGTTTAATATAAGAAAATATAAGTTTCATGCAGTTTGTTTTATTAGTTTTTTTAATTCATTGGAACAGACCAATCTTTGCCGGCAATTATATTATTCACGACCTATTACGAGGCCAGTAAGTTCAAATGAATTTACTTTGTTTAATCAAGCTAGCTGCTTCTCTTTGTGATATAATCGGGAGACGATAATCACACACCTTGTTTCTTCCCCTACACAACCCTCTTAATCATTTGTGTTGCTTCGATTTGATTTGTTCAATCTGACGCATGTAAATAAAGAGAAGTGTGGGAAGAAAACTAATGTGTGTGATTATCGTTGCCCTAAACTAAACTGCGCTCCTTTTCCAACTCAGTGTTTGATGTACTCTTCTTGTGCAGTGTCTCATGTCACTTCTGATATGTTTATGGAAATGTGTGAGCCTTTCCCACATGTAATAGCATATGAGTTCCTCCTTGATCCTGAGGTGTGCCACTGTAATCCAGTTTTCTATTATCCCATTTTTTTACCTTCGGGAAGCTATTGAGTTTCTGCTAAGTTTTTTAATCCAAACTAAAGAATTAATAATAAGGTCAAAACAACATAGGGGGTTGTTTAGTATTTAAACTGAAAGTAATTTACAGTTTAAAATGACGAATGTAACAATTTAAAGAGGCTCTTGTTTGTTTCATATAGGTCTGAGAATGGAAAAAATAGTTTACCACATGTTTGATAAGGGTGGTGTTATCCATATATACCCCCATTTTTACCATATCTTGTTAATTTTTGTCATTTGATTTTCTTTAATTCATTCAATCTAACGGCTGAAAATTAAGAGGATGTGTAAGAGGTAAAAAATAATGTGCGGATACCACCACCCTTTGATAAATCTGCTCCAGACCCCTCAAATTAGAATTTGATTCCTGGAACTATATAAGGCTAATATTAGTGTTGTATCTGATTGATTTTTGAATGTTCCCAGTAGCAACGGTTGAGAATGAAACTCACACTGATGTAAAGATGGACCTTGCATAAGCTTATAAGTAATTGAAACATTCCTCATATTGCCGATCGGTTGTATAAGTTAAAATGTGTTTGTTAGCTAGGTCATGTACCATGCTGTAATTGCCATCTGCATATGTGAGCCTGCTTAAAGAACAAATATGATATCTTATTATGCCTGATCATTTAGTTAATTAATCTAACATTGTTTAGTCTCTATATGTAGGAAGACAACTACAAAAGCATACTGGAAAATCTTAATATTCCCCGTACGGTAAATTATTTGAGGGGCTAAGAATGTTCTTAATTTAGCTCCACGATTTAGTTGCTCATATCTTTATCCTTTATCCTTAATTTGTTTTTAATATACAATTCATATACCTTTTGTAGCCAACGTTTCATTTCTATCAAAATGGGAAAAAGGTTGCTGAGATAACCCGTAAAAGCTGGGAGAGCGAAGCTTACGAGATCTCCTTGAAAAAGACTCTTGTGAAACTCTACGTGTAAGTATTTTTTAGATTATCTTATATTTGTTGCGAATGAATATCACAAAATTGAACTTTGCATGATTTATAAGTAGGGCTATTCCTCATATTGTAAATTAATTTTATGTTAGAACCTTAACTTTCTTCATAATATCCGAGTAGATTATCCTACATGTAAAGTCCAAGGGCCACATGTGTTCTACGTCACTCTGTTTGTGTTATCCTCGTGTTTGACTTGAAAATTGACCACACGTGAGGAAGCGTGTTGAGAATGAATCTTACATTAATAGAAGCAAGGACCTTGCATAAGCCCATAGGTAATTAAGTAAGGCTACTCTTATATTATCAGTTAGTTTTATGGTAGAAGTAATCTCAACTTTCTTCACATTTTACGTGCTTTTGTGAATTTGTGAACGTGATTTTTACTTTTATTTTTCTTCTTCTTATGATATATTGATTGAATTATAGAAAATAGTTGTTGAATTTTCTCATCTTGCAGTCCTCAACCTACAGAAAGATCATCTGATAAGGAGGATAGGAGTAGAGTTGAAGATACGTTGAGGTACAGAAAGATCACCTGGCAATAAGGAGAGAAGGAGCTGAATGGGTGGGTTCGGAATCGGATCCATCGCCCCGTTCCAAGTCCTTGCTGTCCGACGAATCGCCGAACACTTGCCGGCCGGAGAATTTCTTTGGTTATCAGCATCCATTGTTATAAGCTCCGATCTTTTTACTTTGCGTTAATTGGATGAAAATGTCAAATTTTCTTTTTGAGTACATTTTTGCTCACCACCATTTAGTATGATCTATGTTTACCACTTTATTTATTACTGTTAGATAAGTTTAAATTTTGAGATTTGTTCTTATTTATTACATGAATCTGAAAATTCAAACTTATCTAACGATGATAAATAAAGTGATGAGCATACATCACACTAGATGATGGTGCGCAAATATACTCTCTTTTTCTTTTAATCACTTTTTTGACAGCTGTAAAATGGGTACTTTATTTTCCAACAAAAACATTATCCAAAAAAATATTCGGGAGCTTTAACGAAAAGTTATCGGTACTATTCATTTTAACGAAAAATCACATTTTTACTTTAAAAAATCAATTCTTATACTATTCACTTGCAACCCTTTTGCTTTTTCGTTAAAATTCAAAATTTTCAAATCATTTTCATAAATTTTTCTAAAAAAATTCCCATTGGTCAGCGCAGTGCACCGCCGTATGAGCAGCGTCGTCGTAGACGATTATGATTGAGTGCAACCAAATAGACGCCTCGGCCGCCGTGCCGCGCCAAGGGATGGGCATTCGCTTGGCCTTTCGAGCCCATGCAGAGAATATATCCTCTTCCTCTCGCCGAAAGCCGACACGTAACGTCGCAGTGTCATCCTTAGAGGTCCACGTGTCGTCATCGCGTAAGACGTCCCCATGCTTCCCCCGCACTTCGTCGCACCCGTCGAATTATTCCTACCACCACTACAAATTACAAACCAAGCCTGGAAAGCCTCCCGTTGACGCATTTGACCACATCCACCGTTTCCGAAGCGCCACGTGGTGCGGAACATCTGATTCCAGCTGTTGATTTTTGGAGACTGTCGCCCACTTTGGAATCCCTATAAATTTGAAGGAGTCCGTTTTATTTCGAAAGAGTCGAAAGGCATCGAAGGTTTTGAAAGCAGAGCAAAAATGGCAGATTCTGAAGCATCGCAGTCTACAGAAACGGTAAACTCTCTCTTCGTTCTGTTTGGTTCCCGAGAAAGTGATAGAAAAGTTCGATTATTTTTCTTTTCGGAATTATGAAACTGTTGGTTTTGATACTGTTATGTTTGGTTGCCGAGAAAGTGACAGAAAAGCCTTTTTTCTTTTTCTTTTTTTGAATTTATGCTCTGTTGATTTTGATTTGGAAACTTTCTGTTTGGTTGCCGAGAAAGTGACGGAAAGTTTCTAATTTTTTTCCTTTCGGATCTTGATTTGTAGGTGCGAGTGGACGCGAAGAAGCTCAAGTATTTGGAATTCGTTCAGGTGGCGGCGATTTACGTGGTGGTGTGCTTCTCGAGCCTGTACGAGTACGCAAAGGAGAACTCCGGTCCGCTTAAACCAGGGGTTCAGACGGTGGAAGGCACCGTCCGAACCGTAATCGGACCGGTCTACGAGAAGTTACACGGCCTTCCCTTCCAATTCCTCAAATTCGTCGATCGCAAGGTCAGTCTAAAACCCTACGTTCCGCCGCCCCTTGATTTTACACTGTAAACAGTTGATAGTTTCTCGATCACGGTCACGTGATTTGCAGGTGGATGAGTCATTGAGCGAGGTGGACCGTCACGTGCCAGTTCTGGTGAAGCAGGCGTCGAGCCAGGCGCTATCGGTGGCGAGAGAGGTGGAGCAAGGCGGCTTGGTGAGCACGGCTAAGAATATTACTGTGAGCGTGTACTACAAGTACGAGCCGGTGGCGGAGCAGTACGCCGTGTCGGCTTGGCGAGCGCTAAACCGGCTACCGCTGTTTCCATTGGTGGCTCAGATAATAGTCCCAACCGTGTCGTACTGGTCCGGCAAGTACAATCGGGCCGTCGGGTACACTGCCAACAGAGGCTACTCCGTGGCGGCGTATCTGCCGTTGATTCCGACGGAGAGGATTGCCAAGGTGTTTGAAGCGGAGAACGTGGTTGCCGTTCCGACGAACGGTGGCTCTGTTGCAGTGGAGCAGTGATTACCGTTGATCCTGGCTGGGGGCTTTATTGTCTTTTAGCTTTTTCTTTATTTTCCGAATGTGAAGTTTATTTTGGGCTCGTTTTGAAAGAAAGAGTTGAAGTGGTGCCTCTATTGCGTTTTTATCGATTTCAGAGAGGGCGGTGCTATTCACATACTTATTTATTTTTACATCATTTTTAATTTTTAACTATCAAATCGAACAAATTAAATAATCGAACAAATTAAAGAAGATCAAAATAATAGAAACTAACAAAAATGTGTGAATAGCACTAATCTTTTAACAATAGAATCGATTTATTAATGTAGAATTGCTCTTTAGAGCTTCTAAGGGATTAACGAATATGAGAGTATAATTTCTAAAATTTAAGCTCTAAATTGCGATCTTTGAACCCTAAATGGGATCAATCAACCTCATCGTACCAAAGCCGCATAAACTAGAAATGTCATATTCTCGAAGCATCTTAAGGTATCGTTTGGCATGCATACGGTACGAAACGGAATGAGACGGAGAGGGAGCAAATATGCCCTCGGATGGAAACAAGGAGGAAGAAGAAAGAGACGGTCAGGTTATAATTTTATGTTCCACGGATGTGGAACGAGTCGTTGCAGGAGGTGAGGCGGAACGAAAATTCATCCAAAATTCGTTTCGTGGAACAGCTCGTTCCTCCCATTTTAGGCGCACAAAATGTGGGACGGAACGCTTCGTCCCACTCTATTCCGTCCCATACCAAACGGTACCTAAAGAACGGATATCTTGCACAGAAAATTTTGGCTCTTACAATTACTCCATTACCAGCAGTCAGGGAAGCAAATATAAGTGGAAAGATATCACAAAGATTTAGGGCATCAATGGGAGAGAAAAAGTATTAACTGAATAAACTCAAAACTTGTCATTAACTAGGAATGATTAATACATAATCCGAGATTATTACAGCACCATCTCGTTGAATAAACTCGCTCTCTAGGTTCCATCTCGTTTTCGATACAACTAATCGCGCAATCTCAACTTTATTTGACAAAATATCAAAACATCGACGTCGTAAACATAACAGAACGGAAACAGATGACAAAATGAATAGAACGTATCTTAGTAGATGGAGTAGTTCTCGCTGGCTCTGGGCCAGATGCTGTTGTAGATAGCCTTGACAACCGGAATCACGGCAATGAGCGCAAGTTGGAGTTGTTCGGAGCTGCTTGTTCTGATCGAGATCTGTCCGCTGCGCTTGTTGTTCAACCCTGCACGAACAGCCATCTTGTAGTTGCGGCCGAGGGAAAACTGGGACTGGAGATTTGCCCCCAGGGCCAAGTCACCCCTCCACCGCACGAGAGACAGACCCAATGAGGATTGATCCTGGCCAATCGGAAAATCTGCCTCCCTCAGCCGCACCTCCAAATTTGCTCCATATGCTGAGTCGCCCTGAGATCGGACAGTACCAGTAGTACCCACCAATACCAGGCGCTTGCCAACCGCATACTCCTGTTCGAGTTTGAATCCAGTGGACACATTTTCACCCAAGAATGTCACAGATACTCCGGCAGCATTCTTGAACCTCTTGGAAGTTTTGACTTTGGTGTCTCCTCGGACAATGTATGCAAGTTGCTTTCCGATGTTCTGAATGTCAAACCCTAGCATACTCGACCACTTCTCCCCGTGCTTAGCACCAACCGAGGAATCTAAATGAATATTGAACTCTTTCTTATCCTTTGTAAGCTGAACAGCAACAGCTGCGGGAAAAGAATTAGCAATGGCCAGAGTATGTTCAAGGTTGACACCGTCATACCCACAGTCATGGTCCCAGCCTTGCGCGTCCAACACTGGCCTTGCCGTGAACTGAGAAGTCGGCTCCAAGAACCGGTACCTGTAAGCTGGATTTTCACCATCAAAAGAAGGCGGCAAAACCATATCAGGTAATGCCACCGGCACAGCTGCTGGAGCACCATTTTCTGGATCTTCTTCACCCAAATAACCGTACTCCTCTTCACTGACCTTGCCCTTCTTCTTCATTTCTTTCATCCTTCTCAACTCCTCTTTCCACATCTTCTTCTGGAGGAGCTTAAACCTATAATCGTACTCCTCAGCGTACGCCTTCCTCTGCTCTCTGCTAAGCTTAGCAATCTGAGCCTTCTTGAGAGGCTTAAATGACGGAAGCTGATCATACTCATCCTCCTCTTCCTCTTGATCAGAATCAGACAAGTCAGCCAAGTCAATGTCTGAATCAGCATTCTCACCACCTTGATCGGTAGCAAGTTTTGGGTGCGGACGAGATTGCAACAGCCAAGACAATAAGTATGGAAGAGGAGCCGAACGGGAACGCAAACCAAAGAGCTTACGGTGATCAAATGATTCCGGAGGTTTGGAGAGATTAGACGCATCAGACAAGATCTTCATAGAGTAGCATAAGAGCAATAGATGGGATCTCCAAGCTACACCATTAGGGAGAACTTTCTGATTATCTCTCTTCCGACAAGATGGGTGGTTCTCTACAAGAGATATTGGACTCATCATACTCGGATTCATGAACCTTAGATCGCCAACAGCTTGTCCAATGGTCTGCTGCATTATTTGTTCCCGCTGATTACGAAACATCTCATAATTCAGAGGGGAACCTGATGGTCCATCAGGAGGAGCAGAAGAGCTGTGAGTCAGAGTAACTATGGTGCTTCGCCAAATTGAAGGACCAAAGGCATTAGTGATTGATCTTAACAATGGCACATCACTTAGATCCCTACTTCGGGAGTCCATCCGATCCACATAGAGGACAATATCTGGGGGGGATTTTTTCATGCGCCTCTGCACAGAAGATAAGATTTTGCGATTGATGCCCTGTTCCATTGCAGCAGATTTCAGACCCGGTGTATCAAAAACCTTAATCTTGACTCCATCCACCACTCCAACAATTTCTTTCACAGCAGTTGTTCCAGGTCCAAAAGCATTAATTGGGGTCACTTCTGCACCGAAAATCGAATTTATAGTGGCACTTTTCCCAACACCTGTCTTCCCAAGAACCAGTATGTTCAAGGAGAAGTCCAAATCATCCTTCTCCTCTGCTTCAAGCTGAAGAGCGGTCATCTTTGCAGCTTCAAGGCTAAATTCTTGACTGTTTTGCCTCCCTGACACAAGAGCTAGGCGGTATAGAACCTGCCTTGGTACTGACTCTTCTGTAGAAACACCTAATCTCTGCACGAGCCTCAAGAACTTAACCCTTATTTGCTGAAACTTTTCGAGCTTCGCTTTCTCTTCTTCACTCAAGTTCTCAGAACTGCCCCCAACTGTGACATTGGAAGATGAAAAAAGGTTCGAGTTGTTTGGTCGGGAAGCAGGTTTCAACGACCGGACTGATGATCCCAACCCAGCAGGACGCTCAACAGAGAAAAGCCTGGATCCATCTGGGGTGGTGAATGTAACATTGCCACCATCTGAGGAAGCACCTGTTGCTGCTTTCAGAAGCGCTGCCAGTGCATCAGAATCAAATAACTCTTTTCCGCCCCCTTCCTCATCAGTGTCCACTTCTTCATCTGAATCCGTGGCAACCTGGCCATCAATTCTCTGTGAATGATCATGATAACTGTCAGCACCTGAGTAAGAACCAGCACGGGATCCTCGCTCCAACTGTTCCAAAAACTGTTTAGCAGCCTCAGAGCTTCCAAAAATCATACCTTCATTGTTCGCATCTGTAACTGAACCTTCATTCTCACCTTCATCGTCTTGAAGATCCTTATCATCATATTGAAGATCATTATCACCGTCATCGTCAGTTTCAACTCTTATCTCTCTGTTTGAAATGGAATTTGCATCCACAGATCCAATGCCAATTTCATCTGGGATATGCTTCTCCTCAACTTCCTCAACTAGCTTTACTTTGTGGCTATCAGAACTTGAATCCAGAAATTCAGGTGCCACATATTTTCCGCAGACAGCCGCTTCCAATTCATGCACTTCATCATGTGCATTCAAGTCACCGTTCTCCGGTTTTGCCTCTATCTGCGGTTCATGTTCTGATAAGTTTACAGTTTCTGTTTCAGCTCCATCCCCTACCGATGGTTTGTCATCTGACATCACATCAGCACCTGATTCCGTTGCCAGCCCTTTCTCTCTGGTTTCGGAATTAGATTTCAGTTCATCCTTCCTTTCTGGCCTCTTCTCAAGATCAACTTCATCAGCACCAGCAACAATAGCAGCTTTCTCTCCATCAAGTTCTACATTCCCAGACTTGGGAACAACCGCTCTGTCACGCTCAGAATCCACAGCCACGGACTCCGAGTCATTTGGTTCTTCTGTCTCAGAGCTAATTTGATCAAAACCATTATCCAAACTCACACCTTCATCAACCTCCAAGCCTTTTATTTCAGATTCCTCGATCGTCTCTACATCGCCAACCACAACAGCTGCTCCTGTCTGTGACAAATTGGCATGTATATCCTGCACAACTGAGTCACCTCCACTAGTAATTTCCACACCATTCTCTTCAACCTCAACCAACTTATCATCAGCTGGCGCATCCACCGCCACAACATTTTCTTTACTCTCTCTCACAACTTCCCTAAACCCTAAACCCTCAGAATCCACAGCCACAGATTCCAAGTCATTTGGTTCTTCAGTCTCAGGGCTAATTTGATCAAAACCATTATCCAAACTCACACCTTCATCAACCTCCAAGCCTTTTATTTCAGATTCCTCAATCGTCTCTACATCACCAACGACAACAGCTGCTCCTGTCTGAGACAAATTGGCATGTATATCCCGCACAACTGAGTCACCTCCACTTGTAATTTCCACTCCGTTCTCTTCAACCTCAACCAACTTCTCATCAGCTGGCCCATCCACCACCACACAATTTTCTTTACTCTCTGTCACAACTTCCGTTTCGCCATTGAAAGCATGCTCCTCCTTCGGCTGCTCTACAGCCTTCTTATCATCTACTTCAGCCACCTCCACCGGCTTCTCCACCACCGAGCCCAAACCCTCTACCAATTTCGAATTCTCAACTACCTTATCTTCTTCTTCACCACTAACACCATTTTCCTTGACCACTTCACCCAAATTTTCACTCTTCCCCAACCCACTATCCCCCAAAACAACACCTTTAGGACTCCCACCCTCTAAACTCTTCGAATCCATAAACACTTCCTCCCCAGCATCCTCCTCGCCGTCGTCATCATCCACCGATACCTTGGCAATCGGCCGCAGACCACTCGTACTCGTCGGATAGAAGAATTCCGACGGGTTAACAAACTTCACACCGGAATCCTCCTGCACCCCTCCAACCACCACGGTATCTCCGCCTCTCACAAACGCCCTCTCGGAATCAAAATCCTCCTCCTCCCCGCTTACAAACCCCTCCTCCGTCTCGGACCCACCACCGTCACTACCGCCACCAACCCCGCTAAATTTCTCGTCATTATCAATTTTGGAAACATGGGTTTTCGATGAATCATCGATAACAGAGTACTGAGAAGAAAGAAATGAAGAACCTGGTGCGTTTGAGAGGTGCTGCGCCTCCTCCTCTGAAGCAAAAAGCTTGGACTCCATCGGAGGCTGCTGGCTGTGAGGTGAAAATTGAAGGGTTTTGCTGCACCCTCTGGAGAGAGAGAGAGAGAGAGAGAGAGAGAGTGGTTTTCGGGATTTGGGTTTTGTGGAAGGGACTGTGGGACTGCGTCGAGTGGGAGAGATAAGGTTTTAGGAGAGATGGGAGGAGACGGCGTCACGGGTTCTCCTCCAAGTTTCTTGTTTGTAGAGAGAGGACTGGGCGTGGGAGTTCCATCCGATGTTCGCACCATTCGTGAATTTACTGGATTGCCCTTTCTCCAAAGGTTTTTTATTTTATTTGTTGCCTTTACTCTTTTTTTCTTTTTCTTTTCTTTTTTTTTATCTTCATTTGCTGCATTTTTATTATGGGAACTTTAACGAAAAGCACCCGGTACTGTTCACTTTAACGAAAAACCACATTTTTACACTAAAAAGTCAATCCTAATACTATTCACTTTACCCTTTATTTTGTCCTTATCATTAAAACTCAAAGTTTTCAAGACCTTTTCATTAGTTTTCCTTTTTATTATTTGACTTTAACAGTCAAATTTTATCAAATTTTGTTATTTTCGTCCTTGAAATTGATGAAACAACCCTTAATTTTATGAGAAAATTAATTGATGAAGTGATGTTACGGAAACTAAATTTTTAAACTAAATCTAATAAATTAAATAATATTGTTGTTGATTATTGGATTATTACTTAAGTGTTGGTTAACGAATTTATTTCTTATTAGTAATACATCATTCAATCTACAATTATTTTAAAATTTGATCTGCCTAACATTGCCCTAATTGATTTGATATTATAAGTCGATTCATACGTTTTAACAAGTGCTGACCGCCTTGGTGATTGAGGACATCAAATTACTTGCATTATCTTTTTCATTTATAACTTGGGCCCAGGTTTTTCTGGATGGACGAATATTCTAGTTGATGTTATTAATAGAGTTGGGCACTCCTTTCATGATACTTATATATAAGATAGATCCTTATCCTATAAATGTTTCTCTTTGATTGTACTTGAAGTAGTTGTACTTGAAGTTTCTCTCTTTGGATAAATTTATTTTTCCATAAAATAAAATAAAAATTCATACTCGTTAAGTGATGATTGTGTTACTCACACACTCATTGTTAATTTATGTCTTTTAATCTTGTTCAGTTCATGTAATTAGACCGTCGAAAATTAAGGAGGTGTGTGGGAAGTAAAAATGGTGGGCTCTGAAATTCTCCTCCCTCCTAAATTATTGTAAAATTTCGAATCTTCCCTCTTCTTGAATAATAGTAATTTGTTTTTAAATGCCAGGTATAATTATATGTATTTCATCTTAGTACATGAGTGCTTGCTAAGCACTATGCACAAAAGATATTTGGTTCCCATGTGAAATATTTTCCTTATGAATTTTAGTTCACATAGGTATTAGGCTTATGTAATTACAAAAAATATGATTAACCAAATGCTTGCCAAGCCCAATAGCGAGAGCTTGTAATTAAACTAAACATAACATGAACGTGATTGATTGTATAAAACGGTTGAGTGCTGTTTTAAACCTACAAGGAACACCCGACCTACCTAGGTTTGAGATTGAGCAAATGATTTGCCACAACCATTTGATTATGAATAATTGGTACAATCAGTCGCCCACTCGACATACAGTTGATTCATCCAAGAGCAATCAAAATCCTCAAAGATTAGAAAACCCTCAACATTTCCATCCCCTCCCCAAAGGATTGAAAGATAACTCGATCGAAAGGTAACAAGTAATTGTCAGGATTAGGGTTTTTTTCTTTCTTTCTTGTTTCTGTCGGTAGCAGTTGGACTGCCCCTTGTTTGTTTGCATTTGAAAGATAACGTTTGGGAGTGAAAGAATAAGATTGGGTTGTTGGCAGAGAGCATAGTTTTGTTGTTTCTTGGTCTCTACGTGTTATCATTTGCTCCCTCTTATTCCTCATCTGCAAATGGATGGCCATGACTCAGTTCCTTCTAGGTTTAGGGTTAGGGTTAGGGTTTTGATTTATCCACCAAAGGTCTATTCCACCTTCTACATTGATCCAATGCTTAGTTTATATACTACCAAAGGTCAAGTCAATACCGTATGTAACATGATGTGATGGTATTAACGAATGACTGATGCCCAAACATTAACAATCAATGCACATATGTAACAAAATGATATTATAGTGATATTCATATCGAAAAATTACTTGTTATATCAAATTGAATTCAATGTATTAGCTAGAGAACCATTTCATTTTCAGTTATAGGTACGGGGCATGTGTGTCCATGAGTTGATTGGGTTAGGGTACAAAGTTGGTGGCCGACATTGGTTGAGTGTGGACGGACAAGAACAACTAAGCTTGAGTTCAGACCCAATCTCATGTCCCATCTTAAGAGTAGGTTCATCATTCATGCATGCAAATGACAAAAGTTCGTTTAAAAGTGTTTTTAAAATGACTGCAAACGTTTTTTATGATATTGCTTTTAGAATCAGTCCTTAGTAAAAATAAAAGTAAATATTGGAAAAACACTTAAAGTTCTTTTGGAATCCAAAAACACTTTCACTAAAAGCGATTTCAGTTGTATTAAAAGTACGTCCAAACGAACCCAAAGTTTGCCGAATGTCTAACAATATGCATGGATATGTTATAAATTTAAGATACATTATCAATAAATAAATATGCATGTTATAACCTAAACACGCTAGTAGCACTGAGTGACAATGTAACGAACATACTAAAAGTATGTGTATATGTGTATCATCTATTCGCCTATGGTATATACTATTAGTTCGACTCAAAAGTTCACCTAACTTATTGCCACTAGTAACTAACTACAGTCTAGTATATTTCTCTACACTTATAAGTTGAAAAGTTTTGAGTCCGAATCATATGGATAACGAGTTTGATATGCAATCTATTATTGTTGGTCAATTGTATGTCAACCATAGACACCATGAAATAGAACATTGTTATATAAAATACAATTATGACTTATCTGTTAATTGGCTATGCTTGTTCCAATTGCACATCGTAATACAAACTAACTCATTAAATTTCTTTTGATAAATATATCGTTTATAATTTTTGGATTTTGTTCTTGTGTTAGAAATGGAGGGGATGTACATGTGAGAAACGAGGGATATAGAATATAAATAGTAGGATCCAATTTAATATCACTTCATTCAATATTTTGTTATCATTTACTCTTTCATTAACCTTTTTCGCTGTATACTTTTTTTTTTGATAAAAATAATTATGAAACGAGTCTTACATTTCACGATGTAGTTCGATTATGTCCGAAAAAGCTTGAAAATGGAGGGTAAGATTCAACTAGTGTGGAGACAATTAACAATTAGATATTTGGTGAGGCACATGTGCAAATGATTAAAGCTAATCATCAAAAACAAAACCCTAAATTCATGATCAAATCTGCGTGATCCTTATCCACTTTCTAAGGTCCATGTATTCTATGTTAATTATTACTATTAGGGGTGGGAGAATTCTAAATTATTACAATAATTTAAGATAAAAAAAGTTTTGAACTCAAAACACATGAGTACATGAGTATAAACTCAACACATGAATATGTAATTCGCATATCATAATAACTAGATCAACCTTGGAATTGCTATTTAAAATGCACAACAATATGGAAACGGGAATGACCAAAGTTTGAGTAACTACGACGCACTTCCACATTTCCATCAACACCATGAATGCATATGGAACACTGCTCGACTCCTTATAATTAAATAACCTATATGTACATGGAGTCGATGAATTAAAAGCACATAAAGAAAAAATTTCGTTCGAAAATCATGAACTAGCCTAACATACAAGGAGACAAGACATAGAATCGTGGCCATATGACCTTAAAATATTGCGGGCGAGTGCGCATATTCTTCTTCTATTTAGTATTTACAGCCTTGCACTAGTTGGTAACTTGGTATGACAAGAAACCAAGTTGCCTGCATATTTTCATATTGTGGAACTTCCTCAATTTTTTTTCTTCATGGTATTAGAGCAAGTTGTTTATGTGTGAAGCCCAACGACCATCGTACTTCATGTTGCCCGATTTGTATTATCTATGTGGTAGGCTTGACAATTTGCGACACGTGAGATGGTGTATTGAGAGTATTGATCCCACATTGGGAAAATAAGAGACCTTGCATGAACTTATAAGTAATTGAGCTATTTCTTATATTGCCAATTGATTTTATGGTTGAACTTCAATTTTATTCATGAAGATTTGTAAAACTGAATGAATAATATTATTGATAGCACAAGGTGCGATTATATACACGTGTATACTTGACGTACAAGAGACAATAACTTAATACACAAGAAATACAACTATGAAAGGATTCCTAAAACTAAAGAGAGTTGGGTTCCTTGTGTTTCACGCCAAGGCAATCAAGAATTAGGCGAGCAAGACTATACATGCGGGTTTTAGCAGTGAAGTCTCCCTTCCTTCCACTCATAGCAGTTGGAAGGAACCGAAGCATGTTTACTTAAAAAAAATGAAGGAATCGGAAAACTAAAAATGAGAGAAACTTACACTTTTTCGATTTCTTACTTGTAAGTAAACACATGGAAAAATTAAGAATTGAAATGATTCTCATACTTATATTTTAGTAAACGCAAGAAACTCAAGAACCAAATTATTTCAATTCATATTCCTTACATGCCCCAAAATTTCCACATGAAACGCCCCTCGTCCCCCTAAAACCCACTAGCCAAACCAAATAAAACAAAATAAAAAAGGGGAGAAATTAAATGGGAAGGTTCTCCGAATCATGTACAAAAAGAAGGTGAGAAATTAAATGGAAGGCTATCCGAATCATGTACAAAACACTGTTGATCTGTGCAAAATTCATGCAGTTTGGTTGATCAATTTAATCAGTTGGTGTTTGGTGTGGGATGTTGGATTGTACATGGTTGGAGCTAGTTGCATGCACATAACTTATCACTTGGAGTTTTTTAATGATGAAAATATTTGGATGCTTTGGAGTATTCAGTATTTTCGGTATTTTAATTGTTAAATTTAGATTTTGAATTTGTAAATAAAAATTTAATAGTTAAAACACTATGAGTATTTGGCATTCTGCATGTGATCTTGTCGACATAAACTGCAATTTGGCAAGTACAAAATTACGCCAATTCTGCATCAACAAAACAACAGTAAAAGGTCATCTATAAATTCATTGTATGATTTAT